CAGTTTGCTGTAAACGTAAGACAAGACTCATTATCAGATTTGGTAAGAATCAAGTTAATCATTCATTTTATTCCATTTTTATTTCTTTTATCCCATGTAAATATTATCTATAAATGATCTCTATAAGGTCTCTGAAGATATTAGAATGAACCATAAGATCCGACCAAAGGATTAATAAATCCGGTTTTATCTGTTTCCATATGCATGGAATTTAACCTTGAATACACACACAGTCAATCTCACTTTTTCTTTGGGTTTTATTTGTATAGAAATCGGTGAGATTCTCTCTCTATCTCTCTCTCTCTCTCTCTCTCTCTTTCTCGTAATAACCAATTTCAAACGGTTTTAAGCTTAATTAAGCGTCATTAATTAAAATTGTTTGCCCTGGCAACGATTACGACGAAGAGGACGACGGGAGGAGTTTCGATAATTAAATGTCTCTAGGAGTTTTATCCGATTTCACCAGTTTGAGGCTTTAATTAGACTTTCTTCTTCGGCCGTTGAAGTTTCTGGGTGGACTTTGAAAATGGCCAGCTCAGGCATCCCGTTCTCTCTCTATCTCACTCTCTCTTTTTGTAGCCAGATAGTTTTTACGGTTATCCCAGGGTTGCGTTAGGATTATTTTGTTCCCTTTCATTTTACCTTTTTTTACCTTCCTTGTCATCGCATTGTTCGATGGTTGATCGAATTTCAATGAAATAACATTCCCAACGTTGATTAACATTTTATTTTTTTCTCACAATTAGTTTAGTATCATTTTTTGTTTTGTTAAAGAAAAAAAATTGTTTGTAAAATATATGCACGTTATTCGAATCAGATGTCAGATTTTCACGAGTGCAAGATTGGCCCCGTAGATATGTAAATTTGATTGTATCCAAAGTGAACAAGATTTTTTCTTTTACTCTTCTCTTCTCTTTGAAAATTCCAATGGAAGAGTATCCTAACCCAATGGACGGCGAATACGAGTAGAAAAGAAAGGAGGAAGGAAGGAAGGAAGGAACCCTATTGAAACGGATGGATGATCGTTGATCATTGATTCCCGTTGAAAACTTGTGCCTAGGGTTTTACGATAAATCGGTTAAATCGTCTTAAAGTTAAATCTAAATTCAACCGTGTACTTTACCTATTTCTCTCGTATCTTAGAATTTATTTGAATAGAATTTACAGGATTGGATGAACGAACGTGTTCTTGTGTTCTCTAAAAGACGTCTTTTTTTTTTAATTCTTCTAAATATTTTCATTCTGTTTTTTTCATGTACCGCTGTTATCCCTAAGGTAATTTAYTCTTATAATTATAAAAATTATCATTAAAATTTCATTTATCTATGTT